GCACTTAATCAAAGACATCTTTGGTTGCTGTAATGCACTTCTTTGCATCATTCCATCCGAATCCGCTGCCATTTTCTATCATCTAATTGATCGTATGGTACTGGCACTTTAGCAACTTATGCCTCGAATCAATGTGAAGAATTGCCTTAAACCCATGTCCATGAAGCCTCTCCTCCAACATTTTTTCTAGTTGGGACAAAAACCCAACTTTAAATGTGCCATTATCTACACCCTAGTGATTGCTTTGTTTCAGTATTACAAGACATTCAACTAGATGAGCATCTTTTGCCTTTGTCCACTGTCTTTTGGTAGAAGTACTCTTGGCTTTACCCTTTCCTTTTCTGTTGATGTTTGGTACATCCAAACTCAAACTCTTTTCGCCACTTTCGTTTTTTGAATCTGAGTTGTCCATTTGTAAAGAAACTTCAACAACACATTAGACAAAAACACAGCAAAGTAGCTACAAATTTTAATGATTTATACTACAAGAAATGGAACAAAATAATAGAGAAATTGTAAAAGGTGTTGCACTGAAAAAATATATGCACGCCACAAAATGAAAGATAATAACTAAAGAACTCAAATTTAACATACAACAAAGCATCAACAACTAAAATATAACAAAAGAGAAAAACCACGTGCTACAAGTGTTTAAAGTATAATCACAACTAAAACAAAGTAAACCGATCAAATTATTTGCAACAGAAGACATCAACATGGACACACACTTTCAATACAAACCCTAATAACCCGACACTACATATTTCGTGAAGACATCCAACTGTTGAACATTTCTTGAGCCAAATTATCTTTCCACGCAGTCCACGCGACACTCGTCTCCACATGCCTTATTACTTCACCACTGTCCTCCTCGTCGTCCTAGACATTGCACACTTCACCAACCTCACTCTCAATTGGGTCTATTGGCAGTTCATTTCTAATGAAGTTATGTAAAAGGAAACATGCCAAAATAATGTGACATTGGGTTTTCACCGGATAGAAGGATGTTTCTCGCAAAATACCCTATCTTTTCTTTAGTATACTGTCTCAACACAGCTTGCAACACTTTATGGAAATTTCGTGAAATTATCTCACCAGATCTTTTTGTTTGTCTTTTAAGAACTCTATTCTTCACATGGTGTGCAATTATGCGAAGAAAACTAGCTACCATCTCTTTTATAGTTGTATTTCTAGTTGATGCTAACCCGCCAATACTTTTTAGTAAATAACATAACTTGTCAAATGATTTGACATCCATTATACAATTCTCAAGACACTGTGTATCATTATCGAAAACCATGTTCTATAAATTGAGTGATCTAACATTATGTCTATCAATTCGATCAACCGCATATCTTATAGGACGCCTACCCATTACTCTCAGAGAATGCCTACCTATTGCTTTCAAAGAACGCCTACCCATGTAAGTTATAAAACCCTTAGTATTCCTATTCCTATGCAGCACAGCAAACCCAACAATTAGAAGCATGACAAACATGATTTCCATCATGTGCAATTGCAAAAGTAAGATTGTGACCAAACACATCTTCTGCCTTATGGGTAAACGAGTCATGATTGTTTCACCTAATCCATGTACTAAGAAGCATAATATTACTCACAAACACCTATAACATTGCAGTTCACAATTTAAAGTACATTAGCACCAAAGCCAGTGCACTAGACAGTTAAGACAAACTGTGGAATAGCAACCACCCAAACCCAAACAGCAAAATGTAAAAGCCAAAGGCTACGAATGTGTACACTTTAGGAAGCTACAGACGACCATTTCAAACAACACATCACAGAAAAAGAACATCCACACAATCATTGTATCACACATGCATACCGCCTTAACAAACCCAAATTGAAACAACAGAATTTGAAACAAAACAGGGAAGCATAACCCAGATTTAAACCAACATGCTCCATTCTCTACGATGACCATATCATATTAAAACCTAAAGACCATCAAACGATGCCCAAACATTGACACTCCAAACCAAGATAATCATGCCAACAACAAGCACCTTTTCATTTGAAGACAACATCAATATATTTGATTGCAAGTTGCGTGTATGAATGGACAAATTTTTTTCCCCTTTTCGTCGAAGTTGTTTGATTAGTGAAAATGGACAATTGAATCACACAAAATGCCGTAATACAAAACTCACCTAACTCAATTAAAACGACAGAGATTGATAGAGACAAATTGCTAGACTTCAGGACTAGAACTGCTCGATGACGAACAAAAATCAACGCATCAACGTACGATTTAATAACCAACAACACAAAATATTACTGAATGTTCAGTGAAAGGAACAAACTTGGTGTGCTTCGCGTCAATTGGAGAACAAAGAGAACTCTAATAGCGTTGTTGGTTTTTGTAGTGGAGGAAAATAAAATGAAATCGTGGATTAGGGTTAATAGCACATAATATGTATCTGTAGTTTTTTCAAATATCAGGGGCTTTTTTATCTTAATAAATTGAATATGGGGGCAGAGAAGTCATCCTAATTGAATTTGGAGAACTTGTAATTTGAAAGATATATGAGGGCAAATGTGTCCGGAATGATAAAATATTAAGGGCAAAATGGGGTAAAAAATAAGATTACCCTGGTAATCTTATATTAACACCCTTGGGAAGGTAATATGATTAGTCCCAATATTACCAATAGTAAACACTATTTGCAATAAATGATTACCGTAATATTTTATTACTTGACAACCAAACGTGGAAATCTTGAAAATTAAACAAAGATTATAGGATTAATCCTATTTCACCCCGAACCAAATGCACCCTAAGTATTTGTAGTTTACTTGGTAATCTTAATTTTGTTATAATTTTACCCCTAAGCCCTAAATGTGCGTTTAGATAAGGGGCATATAAGATAACAAGGGTAATCTTCGTTTATTTTGCAAGATTCCGATGTTTAGTTTGTAAGTAATAAAATATTACGGGTACCTTTTATTGTAAATAGTGTTTATTATTGGTAATGTAGGGGCTAATCAGATGCCCTCCCCACGAGCTGTTATTAAAAAGATTACCGGGTAATTTGATTTTTATACCTATTTTATTATTAATTAAATACTATTTCGGACACAATTGCCCTCAAATATCTACCAAATAACAATACTCAATCCCCCTTCATTTGGGAAATTAACTAAAGCACCCCAATTACAAAAAGTATAAAAGTTAACAAAATACCCCCAACCACCCAAGACCACCGTCGGCCACCACCGCTAGCTGACTGTGGAAGTCGCCGTAATGGCGCAAGATTGACAGTGGAAGTCGTCGTAATGGTACAAGACCGATGGGATTTGGTTGGTCGTCCGTCATTAAGGCTGTATTTGGCTATGGATCTACATATCCATGGTAAAAAATGACCAGATTTGGCCATTTCACACTCGAAGATGTAGCCGTGAAACGACCACAGATCTAGTCGTGAAACAGCTGCCGTTCCACGGCCAAAGATCTGGCATTTTCATGGTCAGAAACGACCACATCTTTGGTTGTGAAGCAACCATAGATTTGGCTATGAAATGACCATGGATTTGTGATCCATGGTCGAAAATGGCTTTCTCGACGCATGGTCGACCATATAAGACCAATTGTGTGCCATTCTGTCGACTGCCAATGGCAGCTGGCGATGGTGGCTGGCTGTCAACAGTGGCTTGGAGTGGGTGGGGGTATTTTGCTACAAATTAAAGTTTTATATGATTGGGGTGTTTTAGCAAAATTTCAAATGTAGGGAGTTAAAAATTGATTAAAAAAATATTATTTTAATACTTAAAAAGGAGGGTAATTTAGTAATTTACATAATATATCCACCCATTTATCATTCCAACCAAACATATTACTCACCAATTTGTTTGAACCAACTAAACACATTTCTTAAACATTCTTAGTAATCTTCAAGGTGATCCATCTTTCCATTAATATAACATCCCCTTGTAATAAAACATTATTTGATCTAAATGCCCCCTAACTATTAAATTTTTTGGACAATAATTCCTATGTTTTGAAAACAATTTACAAAAATATTCATGGACTATTTTATCCTTACATACAAAATTTTTAGGATATAAATACCCTTAAACTTAAAAATAATTACCCAAGACTGGTGGCCGGATCTAGCCACCATCGCCGGTCGTTGATGCCGATTTGGTTGGAAAGGGCCAAATTAGTTATGGTCGTCCCGACCATATTTATGGATTTGGTCAGAAACAGCTAGATCCGTGGCCGTTAACGGTTAGAGTGGCGCACAATTAGCCATATCCGACTAGTCGTGCATTGTTCTGACCACGGTCGATGGTGGTGGCTGGTGGTTGACGGTGGCTTGGGTGGCTGGGGTCTTTTTGTTAATTTTTAGACTTTTATTATGGTGGTATTTTAGCTAAATTCTCAAATGTAGGGGGTTAAAAAATAATCTAAATAATAATAATATTAAAATAGAAGGGTAATTCAGTAATCTCTATAATATACCCATTAATTTATTCGTCCCAACCAAACATATCAATATAACATACCCGTCAATTTATTCAAATCTAACCAAACATATTTAATAAAACATTCTCAATAATCTTTAAAATAATTTATTTTCTCCTTAATATAACATTCTCAGTTAATACAGTATTTCTCGAACGAAATGCATCCTTAGTAAAATCATGAAAAGCCTTTGAAAGATTAAAAAGGGGTAAAAAGGGTATTTTGCTGATATGCAGATGGCAGATGCAAAAGTTCAGCGACTCTGACAAACGAGAGGTGCGGTAGGTTTCGAAACTAGAAGGGGTTAATAAGTTAGGATATATTGTAGGGGGTTTATTATTTTTCTCAATGAAAATATTGTTTCATTGTTTCATTGGTAAGGATGTGTAAAATGATTCAATAAAGAATATTTTTTAAAATTAACTAAAAGACTAAAAAGCCCTCAAACGGTTCTCTTTCAGCGGGCCAACACTAAATAAACCCTAACCCTATAGCATTTAACAAAACCCCTATTGCTAGTACGTGATAAACCCTGAGACTGAGACAGTAGCGCGAGGAACACTTCTGCGAAAGCGAGAGAAACGAATATTTCTTAGTTTTGATTAGCTATGGCCACCTCCATAGCTTCGCAGTTACAAGCTATCAAGACGTTGGTGCAAGCCAACGAAGAACCGCTCAAGAGGCCCTTCACGCGCCCTTCTGTCTTATTTAATCCTAAAGAAGCTGCTGATGTCGATATTGAAACTATTCTAAACATTGCACTTTCAGGTTCATTTAATTTTTCATCGCTGGTTTTCTTTTTCTGTTTGTTTCCCGGGAAAATACCGTGATTTTGCTTTAAATGAATTTTTGCGTTTACGAGGAATATTTAACTGGGAAAATTAGGAGGAAAATGTTAAACATTCTTTTCGTGAATATTTTACCGTATTAAAATTAAAGTACTTAAATTTACAGCTTAGGTTAGTTGTTGTATTAAATTTTAATGCCGTTCTTTTTTCTTGCTAACACGTGAAAGAGTTGCAAATGATTTTGTTTCATTTTAAATTAGTGGAATTCAGTTTTTATTGATAGCAATTGAACATTGTAGATTGGTGACATTCAATGTTATGAAGGGTGTAATTTGGTTTCTATTATTTTGGTTATGAATTTCCACAAGTAAGTTCTTTGGTTGTTGTTGTTTGTTTTTCAGGCCTAGAGGTTCTTATAAGTATGGATGAGCGATTCAGAAACTATAAGAACGATCTATTCAGTTATAAAAGTAAAGATTTAGATAGAGAATTGATGGGTATAGAGGAGAACAATAGGATCGACACATCAATAAGTTCTTACTTACGGTTACTTTCGGTACATCTTCAACAACCTGCATCACTCAAGACCCTTGAGTACTTAATTCGCAGATACAAGTAATTCCAATGTTTAATAGTACTTGCTTAGTTTGAATGTAACTTTTTAATATTCTTAGATGCTATTTTTCTTCCCAGTTATGTGCTTAGAAGTAATGATTTGAATTTCAGGATTCATGTATACAATAGCGAGGAGTTGATTTTATGTGCTCTGCCGTACCATGACACCCATGCATTTGTTCGAATAGTGCAGTTACTTAACCTACGGTGAGGAGTATGTTACTCTTTTAGATTGTTAGATTTGATGTAGTAGGTTTGATGAAATTTGCTTTATTTTGATATCTCTTTCCTTGTCCTGTAGAAATAATAAATGGAAATTTCTCGAAGGCGTTAAAGTCTCAGGTGCACCACCGCCTAGGACAGTCATAGTGCAGCAATGCATTCGTGATATGGGGGTGTTGGAGGTTTTATGCAACTATGTGAGTGTTTGCTCCATTACCAACTGGTAATTTGGTCAATATCTTGTTATATGTGTAATATGATTGACTATTCTGATGTAGGCATCTCCTACAAAGAAGTTTATGCCTTCAAGTCCTGTGGTCAGCTTTTGTACAGCAGTTGTTGTTGAAACTTTGGGCTCTGTTATGACTATTGATAGTGATGCTGTAAAGAGGATCCTTCCATTCGTGACCTCTGGGCTTCAGCCTGGTACAAAAGGAGGTTCAGATCACAAGGTGATGTGTGAAACAAATTGTTATTGAATAGGGGTTGATAGCTGTTATCAACTCTATTTAGCATGATGCTTTCTAATAGATGATACACACTCATATATAATGAAAGGAGACACTTAGTGTTTGAATTGCTTATGGAATTTGAACCTTATGCTGATCCATATATGCTTTTATGCTTATTTTAATGTTTACATTTCTTTTTTCTGTGTTTTTGGCATGTATGTTTCAATTTTTTTTCTTTATTATAAGAATAAAGGTGTATANTAAGCCTTTTCTTTTTATCTATATTCCATTAAATCCTGTTAAATTGTATATTATTCTTGACATTTTGATGATACATAGTAACTAATAAGGTGTCTTATGAAATTCAGAAATTTCAATCCATTGTTCTCTGCTAATGTAATTGAGTAAATATGAAAGCCTTTTATAGTGTTATTTTCTTATATATTCTATGATTTAGTTCTTTGTTTATGAAAGTTATTTCCAGAATTGAGTTGTTCAGCGTCTAAAATGATTATAATTAACTACTAAATTTTGGTCACCAAAATATATATTCGGCCACTAATAAAATAGTCACGAAAACCTATTGGATTCTACATTCAGCGTCTAAAATGATTATAACTAACTACTAAATTTTGGTCACCAAAAGATACATTTGGTCACTAATAAAATAGTCGCAAAAACTTATTGGATTTCACATTTAGCGTCTAAAATAATTATAATTAACAACTAAATTTTGGTCGTCAAAAGATACATTGAGTCACTAATAAAATAGTTGTGAAAACCGTTTGGATTCTACATTCAGCATCTAAAAGTATAACAATTAACCAATAAATTTGGTCACTAAAAGATACATTCTTCGACTAATAAAATAGTTGCGAATACCTTTGACGAAATTACCCTTACACCTTTGGCGTCTAATTTTTGTGGTATTTGCGACAAATTATTAGACACTAAAAGGTACATTTTGCAACTAATTGATTAGTCGCTATACAATTTTACCAAATTACCCTTAAACTTTTAGCGTCTAAGTTGGGGGACTAATTTGACCAGCATTTAGCGACTATTTTGCTAGTCGCTAAAAAAAAAACTTTTCGCGTCTAAACCAAAATTTAGACACGCTATGAATCTGCGACTAGCCTACTGCAACTAAGGAGCGACTACCAAATTTAGACGCTAAAAATGGCTTAGCGTCTAAATGTGACTTTCTGCGTCTAATTTTGCTAGACGCAGAATGCTTGTTTTCTTGTAGTGACACCAATTTGGCGCAGCTAATGGCGCTGGGTTGGAGTAGAAATTTGCGTCATTTTGGTGTAAAAACACCAAAATGACACAGGGTTGGAGATGCCCTAAAGCATGTGATTGAATCAATCCTGAAGCAACTGAATTCTTGCTTTGGATACTGGAGCTGTGGGATCTCTTCAAGGCAAATCTAAAGATGAAGTTCAAAGAATATTGATGAATGGTACAACATCAATGGGCAATGCCTTAAATTTTTTGAGAAAACATGAAGGTAGCGTTTGGTTAAGGGAATGTTTTATTATTCGAGAATATTATATTAATGGAAAGGTAGATTACCTTGAAGATTACTGAGTATAAAATATTTTTGTGTTTGGTTTGCAGGGGATTTATAATTGATAATAGTGTTTGGTTGACAGTAATTTTATATTACATAAGGTTATTTTACAAAAATACCCGTACTAGTTTTGATGTTTGGGAATCAATTATGGCTTTGCTTGGTTGAAGAGGTATAATTTTGCCCATTTGCAATTAGTTTCTATACTTGGGCGAATCTTTTCTAAGTTTTTGCCTAAATTATGTAACAAAATATAACCATTGCAAACAATTTTCAATTTTTATTCTGGGTAACTGGTTCTTTTACAAAGCAATATTGTCTTGTGGGAAATGACCAATGAGCCTTTTTTCCTAAGCCGCACAAAGAAATTTGAAACATAAAATAACAAACACAGCAGCAACAATGTACACTGCAATACTGGCATTCATCGCCCTAAACACACCATTACAAACCTGCACAGACATCAACCTCAAGCCCAACAGCAACACCCACCAACTGCTAAACCAATATACACAACTTGTTGCTCAAACATGCAGTGCAGGCTCTCAACACCCCTGCCCAGTCGTCATACGATCATGTCCCGTTCCTCCATAACACCGTCACCTAATGCATCAAACATGCAAACCATATCCTGCAGTAAAAAACCTGCTGCACAACTAAAAACTACAACCAAAGAGAAAACACAAAACAACAACCCACAAACAACAGAAAACCCATTCCTCCCTCTACAGCATACCAGACATTGAAATGCACCCAACCCCACCAAAAATCTCCAAACACAGAAGCAAAATCCATAATCCACACCCCCTTTCAGCCCATTCCGAAACACATCCCACCATCCATACATCTGATGAAACTGTTGCAATTTAGCTATTTGAAACAAGCATTTGTATGTAATAGATATTTCAATAGAAAAGAAACATAAAGTTGTGTCTTATCATAATGTTGGATTGTTTTGGAATTTTGTTTTGTAACACATGAACTACTTTTTGTACAATAGTTATGGAAACACAGAATTTACAATAAAACAATGCGGCCGAATGCACGTTACTCTAGCTTTAACCTTTTTTGCTGTTTTCACAGATCTGTACAAGTTAGGAAATCATACTTGTTAGTGATGCAAATACAATTCATGACCATGATATGGTAGGTCATGATCAATGGTGACATAGCCCATATTATATTAAATCGACAATTACAACAGCAAATGTTTACCACTGCCTCACTCTACGCAACGTCCAACAACAGTTTGTCTTGGAAAGATTTGACGTCATCCTCCTCAAACCAATCCTTTTTCATCTGTGGTGAGGCACAAGTTACACAACAACATAATAAATAATCAATTGTATCTTGATGGAAAATGATGTAAAAAATTATGAGTGGCAATGGAACAATGCAGCACTTACAAAGTACGGATACCTTTCGATTAGGGAAAATTTCGCTGGTGCACATTCGAGGAACTTATATATATATAAAGCACAAAATAGCCGCAATCAGTTTGGTTCCTTTGCTGGGGCACCTGGACACACATAACATTCTGTAAGTCAGTGAGCATACGCACAAATGACAACGAAAATCCAAAATGTGACCCCTGTGGGGTGTAGCCCTATACACATCAGGCACCATGAGAGGTATATCAGCCACTCCGTTAGTCTTTCTCGTTGTTGTTTCAACAGCAGTGATATCGAGGGCAAACTTGCGGAACAAGTTGTGGAATTAAAATTAGCCACAATATTAGCCACATACTCCAGCACAAGTGAAAAATTTGGAGCAGGATCTTGAAAATTGTTGGAAGACCTTACTTTCTTATCAGAGGTTCAAACCTCCTTGGGTTAGCCGATCGAAGTGAGTCCAACAATAACATGCAGCTTATGTTGGGTTCTGATCGCGCTACTTCCCCAAAGTTGCATAAGATCAGCAAACTCTAGTGACCCCTGCATATACAGAAATGTAGAATATTAGCACCCCCATCAATAGAATCAAAAATTACCTTGCATTTATAAAAATCAGCAAACATTGACTAACCATAATACAATGGGAATGAGCACATATTTCATAGAGAATATATCCTCTTTTTTAATCCATTTCACAACCTTCTACCTACCAGCTCGTACGAAATACAAGAAAAACCACATGGAATCGAGACACTTGAAATCCGATATGTCAACATGTGTAGATCTTGTCCACAGTTTCCTATCATAACCAAAACTATCAACACTAACAAAAATTTTTGATTTAAAAATTACATGGATGCAGGTGAGAAGCATTCCCCAAGTGCCGATCGAACGTATTGCTAGTCAACATTTCATGTTGTCTACTAGTGGCAATACGGTTACTTGCCCGTCGTGGAAGTTTCTTACCTATAAAGAAAATTAACCTCATTATTTTGTGAAACGTTATTATGTTCCCCAAAGAACAAATATATGAAACCATATTCCTTACTGTCAAATTTGCTCTAACTAGATACCATCCATATAACGTCTAAATCACCATGGCAGCCATGGTCGGCACTAGTTGGTTTGGCCCTCTGTACGGGTTCCATTCCCCCTAAAAATGCATAATATGTGCAAATCGACTTCATCAAATACTGATAAGTCTTCCACAAAGAAAGTAAGAATTTATGAAATCACATTACTGACTTTCATCTTTGTCCTCTCTGCACACTGGTCATGTGGCATGTGACTGCCCATGGCACCTAATCTCGGCACTTTCCCCTCTCTACCTTTGTGTAGATGTCATTCCCCCTCAACATGTGTAAAAAATACAGATGACAATCAAATTGAAAAACATGTAAAAAAAGAATGAGGAAGTAAAAAGCAAAGGTAATTCTGTTATACCTTGCACTCAAGATAACTGTTGCAGCACATGATAATTGGATATCATAATAACAACAACAACAATATATATGACAGTATGCAACACCATTTCATATTGTGATTACCATTTAATTAACAACATTTACAATCCTTAACAAAACCAGGGTATTACACAACAAAAGATATTCATAATGGGATATGGTTAAGTGCTAACACAATGCACTATCACACATAATAAAAAAGTACACAACATCCACAGTCTATACAATGCATATACTACACCATGGTGTTTCATAGTAAAAAATACACCATACCCATGCAACTGACAGAGTTCTATTAACGTAGCACATTCATCTAAACAAACATATCAATGCACAAAAAAGTTAAACGCTATCATAAATATATTACTAATCATCAAAAACTGGACGATACACATTACTTGTGAGCTGTTTCCTCACAAACTCCCGCCTAAAATGAAGTGGTAACGCGAAGAAGAACTCAATTTTGTGAGGTTTCTTACATATCACCTCCCCTGCCTCCAGCAGCTCATCAACTGTGAACTCATCCAACTCAGCTATTGCATTGAACAACGAATTCCTCTTGTCCTTCTCTTTAGACTCTCTTTTAAAAAACGATGCAATGTCTTTAATTTGTTTGCAGGTTCCTTCAAATGCTTTGCTAAACCTGCCCATCTGATCCATGAAGTCAGAAAAACCTTCATCCTTAACCTTCCTCTTGCCGCTGCTGACAGCCCTCCTACTAGGGCCACCTGTGGCTGTCTGACATGTAAAACCAGCCATCTCTTCCTTCATCTGAATAGTGCTTTGGCCATCCACCTCAAGATCGACATCGACGTCCATATTTGTCTCATTAATCGCCTCATTTTCTGTCTCAAAAGCCTCTACCGCATCAGCAGGGGTCTCTGTAGCCCCTCCGGTTGCTTGATCTTTACCAAACACTATGACTAACAAGTCATAGTGGGGGAATGGTCTGTGCCACAAGCCTTTCGCGGTAGAATGACTCTACAAAAAAATAAATAAATAATATGACAGAGGAATGAAAGTTTAAAAAAAAATTAAACATGTAAACAATTTCAATCAATAAAAAGCACTTACTTTAACTCATTCATTGAATACATCTTTGGTTGCGGTAACACACTTCTTCGCATCATTCCATCTAAATCCACTGCCATTTTCTATCATCTCATTGATCGCATGGTACTGGTGCTTTAGTAACTTATACCTCGAATCAATGTGAGGAATTGCCTTAAGGCCATGTCCAGGATGCCTCTTGCAGCATTTTTTCCAGTTGGGACAGAAACCCAACTTTAACTGTGCCATTATCTACACCCCACTGATTGCTTTGCTTCAGTATTACAAGAGAGTCAACTCAATGAGCATCTTCATTCTTCGTCTACTATTTTTTGGTCGCGGTACTCTTGGCTTTACCCTTTCCTTTTGTGTTAATGTTTGGTATGTCCAAACTCAAACTCTTTTCACCACTTTCGTTTTTTGGATCTGAGTTGTCCATTCTATAAAGAAACTTCAATAACACATTAGATAAAAACACAGCAAAGTAGCCCCAAATTTTAAATGATTTATACTACAAGAAACGAAAGAAAATAATAGAGAAATTGTAAAAGTTGTTACACTGAAAAAATATATGCACGCCACAGAATGAAAAATAATAACTAAACAACTCCAATTTAACATACAACAAAGCATCAACAACTAAAACATAACAGAAGAGAAAATCCAGGTGCTACAAGTGTTTACAACACAGTCACAATAGAAACAAAGTAAACCGATCAAATTGTTTGCAATAGAAGACATCAACATGAACACACACATTCAATAGAAACCTTAATAACCTGACACTACGTATTTCACAAAGAAATCCAACTGTTGAACATTTCTTGAGCTAAATTATCTCTCCACACAGTCCACGCGGCGCTCGTCTCCACATGCATTATAACTTCACCACTGTCCTCCTCGTCGTCCTCGACGTTGCACACTTCACCGACCTCACTCTTGATTGGGTCTGTTGGCAGTTCATTTCTAATGAAGTTATGTAAAAGGCAGCATGCTGAAATAATGTGACATAACCGGGTAGAATGATGTTTCTCGCAAAAAACCCCATCTTTTCTTTAGTATACCGAAACACCTCTCAATACAATTTCTTGCTTGAGAGTGTTTTATGTTGAAATATTCTTGCAGTGTCGCTGGTTGACGACCTTGCCTCCACTCATTCAAATGATATCGTTGCCCTCTATATGGTGCCAGGAACCCTTCCCCATTAGTGTATCCAACATCACATAAGTAATAAAACCCTACCATGAAATTAAACATGTTAGAATAAAAAAACCATTGACTATATTACTATATACAACTATAGAAAACATAAATTGATCAAGGATTTACCTTGGGTGACCTTTAACCTATGTCTCCTATTGATGGCATCCCTCAACACCTTACCATATACAGCTGAACCTTCCCACCCTGTGAGGAGATAAATAAATTGCATGTCCGGTGTGTAAACACCAAGCACATTCGTTGCAATTTCATTCTTTAGGGTGCAATACTTGGGTTTGTCAACTGAGTCCACGTGAACCCATATATATGTTCCATCTAAAGCACCCAAACAATTCTAACAGGATAGCAAAAACAGGGAAAGATTAAATTAATTTCTAGATAATGTCATAAGCAAACAAATATGAAAATGATAAACCGAATGGGTACAATGTGTACTTGAACCATTTCCATCTGTCATCAGTTGAATTCTCCAAGATGGGATCTGGTTTTTTTAGCAGAATTTTATGCAGTCTCAACACAGCTTGCAGCACTCCATGGAAATTTCATGAAAACTGTCTCACTAGATCTTTTTGGTTTCTTTTAAGAACTCCATTCTCACATGGTATGCAATTATGTGAAGAAAACTAGCCACCATCTCTTCTATAGTTGTATTTTTAGTTGATGTTAACTCGCCAATACTTTTTAGTAAATGACACAAAACTGTCAAACGATTTGACATCCATTCTACAATTCTCAAGACATATGTATCACTATCGAGAACCATGTTCGTAAATTAAGTGACCTAACATTATGTCTCTCAATTCGATCGCACATATCTTATAAGACGCCTACCCATGCTCTTAGATAACGCCTAACTCCTGTAAGTTATAAAAACCCATAGTATTCTATTCTATGCAGCATAGCAAGCCCAACAATTAGAAGCATGGCGAACATGCTTTCCATCATGTGTAATTGCAAAAGTAAGATTGTGACCAAAACATCTTCTGCCTTAGGGGTAAAACAAGCCATGATTGTTTCACCTACTCTTGTACCAACAAGCAAATATACTCACAAACACTATACTATTTCAATTCACAATTAAAGTACATCAATACCAAAGCCACTACACTAGACAGTCAAGACAAACTGTGGAATGGCAACCACCCAAACCCAAACAACAAAATGTAAAACCCAAAGGCTACGAATGCGTACAGTTTAGGAAGATATATACGACCATTTCAAACAGCACATCACAGAAAAGAACATCCACCAATCACTTTACACTGTGCATACCGCCTTAACAAACCAAATTGAAAACACACAATTTGAAACAAAACAGGGAAGCTTACCTGAATTTAAACCAACATGCTCCATCTCTACAGCGACCATATCATATTAAAAATAAAGACCATCAAACCATGCCCAAACACTGACACTTCAAACCAGATAATCATGCCAACAACAGGCCCCTTTTCATTCAAACACAAAATCAACGTATTGTGTGCAAGTTCTGTGTATGAATGGACAAAAAAAATTGACCCTTTCGTTGAAGTTGTTGATTACTGAAAATGGCAAATTAAATCACACAAAATACAGTATTACAGAACTCACCTAACTCGATTAAAATGGATGGAGATTGACAGAGAGAAATTGCTGGACTTGGGGACTGGAACTGCTCAACGACGAACAAAAATCAATGCATCAGTGTATGATTAATAAACAGCAACACAAATGTTCGGTGAAAGGAACCAACCTGGTATGCTTGGCGGTCGATTGGAGAAGAAAGAGAACCCTAATAGCACCGCTGATTTTCATTGTGGAGGAAAAGAAAAAACGATGATGGATTAGGGTTAATTGAACATAATATGTATTTATAGTTTTTTCAAAAACAAGGGCTTTTTTGTCTCTATAAATTAATATGGGGGGCAGAGAAAAGTCATCCTAACTCAATTTGGGGAACTTGTAATTTAAAAGATATATAAGGGAAATGTGTCTAGAATAATAAAATATTAAGGGCAAAATAGGGTAAAAAATATGATTACCCCGGTAATCTAACATTAACACCCCTGGGAAGGTAATCTGATTACCCAAATATACCAATAGTAAACATTATTTGCAATAAAATATTACTGTAATATTTATTTGCTGACCCAAACGAGAAAATCTTGAAAATTAAACAAAGATTACAAGATGAATCCTATTTCACCCCAAACCAACGCACCCTCAATTTAAACTCGGTTAAGGTAAATTATGCTTTGACCAACTTTGAGGAGTTAAATACCATTTTTATCCCTCATTATAATAATAAGTAAATTAATAAAAATTTTCTAACCCTCAAATTGGTAGAATTTGCAAAAACTTACGTCCTTTTAAATTTATTTCAATAGCATCCTCTTCTTTAACCTTCACATCTTCATCATCTCCAAACCAAATCCAAAGCATCCAATCCACCACCACCACCAACCCCTTTCTTTTCTTTCTCTCTCTCTTCCCTTTTCTCGTCTCTTCTACAAGCGGCAGTTAAATCTGGTTGCCAAGATCTGCTTGCAGCCGTCAGGATCGGCCGGATCTGCTCCTCCTTTGTCCTTCTCTCTTCTCTGCCTCCTCTCTTTCTCCTTATCTCTTCTATTATGTTAATTTGTGTTAATGAAGGTAATGTTAATGGAAGATGTTGGTGTGTGTTAATGAAGGTAACAGGTGAGCTATCACTGAAGAAGAGGAAGAAAGTAGACACCTAGGGCGTAGGGGTTTATTGTAGGTTTCAAACCTAAAGGGGTTTGTGGAAGCTCTGTTTAAAATGGTTTTTTGTAATTCTATCAATTTAAGGGTAGAAAGTAATTTATTAATTTACCCATTACTACTTAGAGGTAAAAATGGTATTTAACTGGTTAAAGTTTGGTCAAAGCAGAATTTACGGAGTTTTAAATTGGGGGGAAAAGTATAGTTTTCAAACTATGAATGAAAATATGTAATTTTGCCTTAGGGGGATAAGTGATTCACTCTATCAGTAGCTTCTCTATGCTGAGAGAAAACGGACAACTAAAGTTAGAAAGTAACTAGGGGAATGCTCGCTATGTTTTTGTCAGTATCTGAAATTTCCTAGAAAACCTATCGAAGCAAACAGTCAACTGGAAATCAAGCAAATCGCCCGGATCGGATCGGTTAGTTCTGTAACATAATTGACTAATATTTTCTTCTGTTTTATTGTCGATAATTCTTGATATTTTTTTTTTTGTCTGAAATCGTTCCGATCTTCTGTTCCAGTAGGTTCAGAGTGAAATCAACCCCATTGAATCTAATCTTTCTTCTGTTTTTATTGTCGATAATTCTTGATATTTTTTTTTTTAGTCTGAAATCGTTCCCGATCTTCGTTTCCAGTAGGTTCAGAGTGAAATCAACCCCATTGAATCTAATCTTTTTCTTTGTTTTATTGTCGATAATTCTTGATATCCTTTTTTTTTTAGTCTGAAATCGTTCCAGATCTTCTCTTTCCAGTAGGTTCAGAGTGAAATCTAGGGCTGATTTATAAGTTGAATTCTGATTGTGGTTTTCCACTTTTCCAATTTTGCCGTGAAATTGATGGGAAGTTCTTGATGTTTGGTCACTAACTTATACATTTTTGGCAACTAACCTTGCTGCAGTGCAGAGTCTTCCCTTTGGTGAAAGTTGATGGCTTCTTCTTCTTTAGTAATCTGCGGTGAAAATATGACGTTTTCTTGAGTTTTAGAGGCGAGGACACCCGCTACAGTTTTGTCAGCCATCTTTATGTAGCTTTGGCGTGGGACGAATTGTAGACTTTCTTGATGAGGAACTGTTGAGAGGTGATGAAATTTCGGCATCCCTTTAATACAATGAATGTTCAAGATTTCGGTTATCATTTTCTCAGAAGCCTATGCATCTTCTAAATGGTGCCTTGAAGAACTCGTAAAGATCTTTGAAAGCAGGAAAATACTGGGCAAATCGTGATACCAGTTTTCTATAACATAGTTCCATCAGATGTAGAGAAGCAAACTGGGACCTTTGGGGATGGATTTGCCAAGCTTCAAGAACTCTTAAGGAGAGTCCATACAATGCTGCAGAGATGGAGCATCGCTTGACAGTAGCAGCAAATATACCTGGCTTTCATTAACAAAAGACAGGTAATGAATTATTAATTTACTTTGGACATTTTAGCTGACTTTCCTTTTTGTCATGGTTACAACAAATATGTAGCTTGAAATTTAAAGCTCTTAAATACCACCGTCGCCAGATAGCTAATTATTAATATATTTTTCATTAAGGTAAAGTATTTTTCAGCTTAACTCTCTTACTATTTTCAGCGTCAAGATGTGGAATGCTTAAGATGATATATATTGTTCAGAGTTTGCAATCTAATTCCATCAATGAAATATAAATTTTGATGCCCTTGAGATTTTCAATGGGAGCTGCCCTTCGGTCACAAATCTTTACTAGCAAAGTTACCAGTCAATTTTCTAATCATTTTTAATTAATAAAATAAAGAGAGAAATTTAATTGGGGAAACAAATTTAATGTTTTAAGTTTAAGAACGAAGAAAAATGGCCTATTTCTTTGATCAATTATTTATAAGTTTCATTCATCAGAATCAGATATTGGAAGTAAAACAACCATTTTTTTTTGTTTGATATATTTATATTCTGTTATTACTAATTTATATGTATATAATTTTCCATTTTGTTAGGCCACCAGCCATCTTCTACCTAGAATTGTCGATTTTATTTCGAAGATGTTGAATTATATTTCGCAGTGAAGTCGAAGCCTTCCTGGAAGCTATCGCATTTATTTTGGGAATCCTGAGGATCTAGCATTTCCTTTTGGTCAGGTTTCTTCTATTTAGAGGAATTAAATCTACGTGATTGTAAAATCACAGAGTTACCTGCAAAGTCTTGGCCAATATGCCTCCTCAAATCTTTACAAATAGCTGGAAACTTGTTTGAGAGCATACCAAAAAGCATTAAAAGCCTTCGTAAGTTGATGTTGCTTGATGTAAGCTTTGTTCTAGGCTCTCAATGCTTACCAGATCTTCCATGCCAGCTAGAATATGTAAAAGCAACGAGTTGCACATCACTGCAGAAAGTATCAAACTTATCAATCCTATTAGCAACTATGGAGAGATCACAAAATAGAGCTCTCAGCTTCATCAATTGTTTGAAACTGGTTATGATGGACTTGCAAAGTCTGTGGTGATGCTTTAGCCAAATTCGGCAAAATTCAATTCATCGGTGGGAATTTTATGAGGTGGTCTCTCTATCTCTCTTTTCATCTGATTTCAATTTCATTCTCTTCAGATCAACTTTTTTTCTGCCTTCTCTCATACGACTATTTTATTGTACAGATGGTTTTCCGTGATGCAAAATCTTTTTTGTGCTTCCTGGAAGTGAAATTCCACAGTGTTTAACTTTCAGAATACTGGAGATAATATAGAGCTACCACAAGATTTGTTCAATTGTAACTTAAACGGTTTGGCCTTTTGCACTGTCATAGCCTTCGGAGAATCATCATATAAAGCATGATTTGATTGTTAATTGTGAGTTGCTTCTTAAAACTAAGGATGGTAACAACCAGAAAGTTGCTGTTGGCTTTCTTCAGGGTTGGTACAAAGATGATGCACCGACTCTCTGTGCCAGATCACGTATTCCTGGGTTATGATTGCAATATGTATAGATCTGGCTTTCCTGAATTCTCTGACAATAGTCGGGCCATGGTTAATTTCTTATGTTATAACATCGATGGAAAACATTGGAATGTTGCAAAGTGAAGAAGTGTGGAATCAGTTATCATACAACCAACACTTGGGAAGCGGTGGAAGGGTCAGTAGAAGTTGCGTCTCTACTGAGGAAGCACGGTCCGGCTTAAGGTAAATAAGATCCTTTTTCATACCAGCACTGGTTATTTCACTACTGTTGTCTTTTAGATCTCTCTTTGCTTGGTTGTCTCTTTTAGATTTGTTTTCACGCTTAAATTTTTTTTTGAGTGGTTTTCTTTTGGATCTAAAAATATCATTTACACTTTCACATGAGGATTAGTTGAGGAAATACAAAAATATTTGATTGATGATTATAGGAAAATCTGGGAAATAAGTTTTAACCACTTTGGTATTAGCTCATGAATACTTAAACAATGATATTAGTAAAGAATACAATTAAACTTATTTATTATAATACAACAACAGTTTGTAACAAATAAATAAATAAGAGAGTGATGTGAGTGATGTTATTGCCCTCACTTTCAAAAAACGGACCCATTTAAACTTTAGTCTAATATCTAACAATTTGCATGTATTTGTAAAATAACCTTCTATTATTTTATGCATTATCTCATATTTTAAACTTCTTTTGTTATATCTGAGATAACAATCACATTCTTTTATTTCATATATTTTTTTTTTTTTTTTTTTGGGTTTTATATTAATCACATACAAGATAACTATCAATTTATAAATTCAGTAAAATTCGATGAACTGTTAACTTTTGAGCAGACTCACATTGATTACTGTGCACGACCCTTTTTAGTTTCTTAAGTTTTTAATTCCAGTAAATGGAAATATGAAAAAAGAGAACAGTGAGGTGCATCTTGCACAAAGTGGGGTTAAGTAGAAAAGCAAAAAAAAAAAAAAAAAAAATAAAAAAAAAAAAAAAAAAGGTGCTGCCGAGAGAAGCTAATTAAGAAATAAAGGGAAACTTTGGGGAAAGCTCATTAGAGCATCTCCAAATGACTCTTTATATGACTAAAAACTCTTTATTATAAAGAGTCTGTCCATAAAAACAAGAGTCTGATAGACTCTTTATCCTTTAAATATAAATTAAAAAATGAGTTTGACTCTCCACATCTAGAGAGTCAAATTTCACTCTTTATCCTAATTTTAATTAATAAACTACATGTTTCTATACATTTTATTTATTAATTTTCTCTCTTATTAAGCCTCTTTCTTGAAAATAAAGAGTACTTTCATTAAATTTAAAGAGTTCATTGGATTTGAAAAAAAAATTGGTTTTTATATTTAGAAATCAATGAAGATGCTCTTTATTTATATGAAAGATGTTCTTTAAAATAAAGGACACTATTGGAGATGATCTTATATATTGCCATCATCAGTAGAAGTTGTAAGAGTATGTAAATTGATGTTTCTCTGGATCTGAAGAATGTCTCATCAGTGGAAGTTGATGACTTTTTATTATTTTTTCAGTAATCGTCAGGTGAAGTACGATGTTTGCCTTAGTTTCAAAGGTAAAGACACCCGCAACAATTTTACTAGCCATCTTCGTGCAGCGTTGTATCGAGCAAAGATTGAAACTTCCATTGATAATGAGGATGATGAACTTATTGGGCAAGATCGTATGAATGCCATTGAAGAATCAAGGATTTCTATTATCATTTTCTCAGAAGGATATGCCTCTTCCAAATGTTGCATGGAAGAACTTGTACAGATTCTTGAGTGCAAGAAAAAGTATGGCCAGCCTGTGATACCAATTTTCTATAATGTGGACCGATTGGGTGCAACTGATGTTTTCAAAAATCCTGAATATTTGAAGCAAATGCCAGAAACACAGAAGAAATGGTTTATTGCATTGAGAGAAGCAACTGATCTAGACGCTTTCGACTCAAATTTCTTTTGGTAACTCATGAATTAGTATTCTTCCCTTAGAATTCTTCACTGTTTTTAGTACTTCTAATTTCTGTTGACTTGCCCCCTTCCACCCCCAACCCCCGAACATTTTGCCATGATCATGACTGATACATTCATTGAATTAGTCCAGATATTTATAACAACACTTGAGTAAAAATAGTTAAAATTTAAAGCTCTTAAATTTCACGTCATTTGATGGTTGGTCATTTTTTTTATTTCTTCAATTAAGTAGTATTTTTTATTTTTGGTAGAATCTCATTGACTACCCTTAAGATGACCAAATTCATCATTCGAATAACAAGTTTCACACTTATTATCAAATGAACCCTTGAAAGTTTGAAAACTGTATCACATATATCTCTTTGATCGAACTTTGTTATCTTGCCGTTAGTGACAGAGGTATAAAATGCTAACTTTAGGCTTCTAAGAAAGTGTTTCAATAATTTTTTAAGAAATGTCCATATGTGACAAGTTTAGAGTACATTCGTATTAGGTTTTTTGGAAGATTAGATTGATTAATTCCTAAGCAATTTTTTTTTCCCTAAAAATTGAATAAGAGGTGTAATAGGGTAATTTGCTCATGTAAACATAACGGCAATGTAACAAAGTTAGGGCAAAAGGGTATTAGTGATAAAATTTTAAAACTTTAAGGGTCCCTTTAATAAGGCAAAAGGGGTATGAGTGATACAGTTTTCAAACTTTGAGGGTGCATTTGATAAAAAGTGTGAAAATTGTCATGCGAGTGATAAATCCTGAAACCTGAAGGGCAATCTATGTACTCCCTTTTATTTTTATCACGCTTGAGTATTGAAATTCATCAATCTCATTGTTTCAATATGCATTTTTCTTTTACTATTGTGAGCATCGAGATATGAGATATTTCAAGCTAAATATTATATGTAAATGATAGGTTACATTTGAATAAATCTAAATTTTGATGCATTTATTTTCTAGTAAGAACATGTATCAGTTTTCTAATTATACAAACTCAATAATATCGAAGAGCCATTTAGTTGGGAGGTATGCCTCGCTTTAAAGGATGGAGAAAGTGGCCTATTTTCATGATTAATTATTAGTATCATATTCATTTAACAACTTTTGGAAATAAAATTAGGTTTTGTCTTTTTATGATTTATTTACACTTTGATATATAAATTATTTATTTATTTTTTAGGTGCGAATCTGATCTTGTAGAGGCAGTTGTGAAACGTGTTTTGAAGATATTGAACTTGATTGGAGTACAATCAAGAATCAAGAAAATTGGATCTCTACTACACACTAGATCAAAAGATGTTCGCATTGTTGGAATTTGGGGAATGAGTGGTATAGGCAAGACAACTATCACCAAAGCTTTATTTGATGAAATTGAAATTCAGTTTGAAGGTTCTTACTTTGCTTTAAATGTTAGTGAAGAATCCAAAAGTCTTAAAAGATTAACTCTCTTGCGACAAGAGCTTTTTTCTGCCATATTAAAGGATGGACCTTCTGATCTAGGAAACATCTTCACAAAACTAAGTTTTGGAGCTTATAAAAGGGTTCTCATTGTTTTAGATGATGTGACTTCATTAGAACAAATAAAATTTTTAATTAGAGATCTTCATTGTTTGGGTCTAGGAAGTCGAATCATTATAACAACAAGAGATAGACAAGTGCTTAAAAATTATGGAGTAGATGATGATCTTATATACAAGGTTGATGCATTATTTCATCATGAAGCTCTCCAACTTTTTAGTTGGTATGCCTTTCAACAAAATCGTCCTCCCTCTAGTTATGATGATTTGTCAAAAAGGGTAGTAGAATATGCTAAAGGTGTTCCATTAGTTGTTAAAGTATTGGGTTCCTTTTTACGCGAGAAGACAGAAAGTGAATGGGAAAGTGCAATAAGTGATCTAAAAGGAAAACCTTGTAAAGATATCCAAACGGTGTTAGAATTAAGTTATAAGGAGCTAGATGATTATGAGAAGAATATATTTCTAGATATTGCATGTTTTCTTAATTGGGAGTGTAGAGATTTTGTAATAAAATTTTTGAATGTTAGTGGTTTCTTCGCAGAAATTGGAATAAGTGTTCTCATTGATAGGTGTCTTATCACTATTTCAAACAACAGAATAACAATGAATGCTTCGCTTCAAGAAATGGGTTGGAAAATTGTCCAAGAAGAAAACAGTAGAGATCCTAGCAAGCGTAGCCGTTTGTGGTATCATGCAGACATCTATCATGTGTTGAAAAATAATATGGTAAGAACCAAAGGCTTTAATTTTATTACGTATGGATCTACTGAAACATAAACTTGTGTTAGTTCCACTTTTCCTTGTGCATTAATTTTGGTAATAATGTGTTTGGGTGGGTTTAACAGATGTACTATTTTAAATTATCATGAAAAGAAGATTGAAAAAGGAAAATAATGTATTGAGAATTTCACCATTGAAATCTTTATGTAGGCTTTTAAATATTTGACGCTAAATGATTATCTTTTTTCATTGGTAGGGGAGTGAAGCAATTGAAGGCATATGCTTGGACATGTCCAAAATAACACATATAGTTTTAAATCCTCGTGCTTTCGCAGAGATGTCTAACTTGAGATTCTTGAAAATATATAACTCACAAGGTGAAGTGAGTAAAAATAAGCTGTGTGCTACCGAAGACCTTGAGTTTTTTTTCGGTGAGCTAAGTTACCTCTGTTGGCATGGATGTCCATTGGAATCATTGCCATCAGACTTTTGTTTAGAGAATCTTGTTGCACTTGATATGCCTTACAGTGATATTCAACAACTTTGGACTGGTGACCAGGTATATGCTAATACATAGTCTTTTTCAGATTATTGAATATCAGATATGCTAATTTGTATTGGTCATTTTCACATTACAGATTCTTTTTAATTTAAAAACTATCGACCTCAGTTACTCCAAACGTCTACAGAAAAGTCCAAATTTCTCGCTCACCCCAAATCTAGAGAGCTTGATTTTAGAAGGCTGTACAAGTTTGCTTGAGATTTCATCATCTATTAATTGTCTCAATAAACTTGTTATCTTAAACCTAAGGCAGTGCAAAAGGCTAAGTAGTCTTCCAACCAGCATCGACTCAAAGTTTCTCAGAAAAGCTATTCTTTCTTCTTGCTCAAATCTCAGGGAGTTTCCAAAGATATCATGTAATATAGAAGAGTTATTTTTAGATGGAACTGCAATAAAACAATTGCTTCCCTGGATCGAAAATCCATCTAGATTAGTGACACTGAATTTTGAAGGCTGTTCAGGACTTGAGTGTCTCCAAAGCAATTTATGTCTGATGAAGTCCCTTGAACATCTTAATCTCTCTGGGTGTCCAGTACGTGATTGGTTGCCAAATAGTTTTGGAGGTTTAGAAGCTTTAAAGGTGTTAATAGGAGAGGAGCTTGCTCAAAAAGAAATACTATCACCCATTGCATCTTTGCAGTTTCTGAAGGAACTAAATCTGACTGACTGCGGTGTTGTGAAGTTACCTAGAAGTTTTAGAAACTTGTCATCACTTGAGAGTTTATTTCTGGGCAGAAACTATTTTAAAAGCATTCCAGCAGGCATCTTACGACTTCCGAAGTTATGTTATCTTGACTTGAGCTATTGTCAGAGGCTTCAATTCTTACCAGAGGTTCCGAATTGTATACAATATGTAAATGCAAACAGTTGTACATCACTGGAAGGAACTGCTGTTTTCGAAAAAGTTAGCTTCATCGATTGTTTCAAACTAAAACAAAATGAACTTCTAGACTATGTGACAGAGGTGCTACTGAATGTTTGGAACCTATTACGTGTAAGATCTCTCAATCACTCACCCAATCCATTTAATGATCTTTTCTTTATAAATAAGTCTGATTTTAAAGCTTCACACAATAACTGTAACAAACGACATTTTTCTTGATACAGCGTCGGAGGCCAAGACTTAGTGCTTATATCTGTTTCCCTGGAAATCAAATTCCAGAGTGGTTTACCTTTCAAACTATTGGAGCTTCTGTCAGTGCAATTCAAACATCAGGTAAGCGTTGTACAGGATCAGTTAGTTTTGCTGTGTGTGCTGTTGTGTGGTTCATAAACTATCAAGATGATGGCCACGGCTTGGTAGTCCGTTGTGAATGCAAGCTCGGGAATAGAAATGGTGCGGTGGTACTTTACTATGGTATCCCACCCGACCGTATTAACTCAGAGCACACCTTCCTGGGATATGATCTTCACATGTGTAACTTTGATTTATCTGATAGTCAATACAGTGACGATTATGAAGTGAACATCCAATTTTATGTCGAGGATTTAAATGGTAAACGGATAGACGGTTGTGGGGTGGAAAAGTGTGGTCTTTATTTATTGTTCCATAATGTAATGCGGGATGATAATGATGGTGATGATGAAGAAGAAGAAAAGATGCAGGATGATAATGATGGTGATGATGAAGAAGAAGAAAAGATGCGGGATGATGATAATGGTGATGATGAAAATGAAGAAGAAGAAAAGATGCGGGATGATAATGATGGTGATGATGAAGAAGAACCACCCCTTAAGAAGTTGAAGGGAGTTTTGTTGTAGATCGATCTTGGGTTGTTTCCTTGGGAGAATCATACTTTGTATGGTGTCGTATATCACTTCGTGTATATACGGTAATTACTCATTTCATCTGGACCATTTTGTTATTTAAATTCTATTAGTTTAACCTTTTCAGTCTACATTTATTAAATAATACTTTGATACAATATTATGGTATTTTACCATTGCACCTCGAGGGTATGATACTATCAAAATGAAATTCCCGTGATAAAGCTAAGTCTACTATACATAATAGAATGACCATTGAGTTTTATTTTGCAGGTGACAATGTGCGGGGTTTGAAGGTAAACAATAAGATTGCATTTTTTGCATATCATTTTGTTATTGTTTTCATGCTTACAGTCATTTTGAATGATTTTCTTTTGGGTCTAAAACATACGTTCATATGATGGATAAGGATTCACCTTCCAGTTTTCTAGTTTTATTTCTCAAGTAAAACTCAAATTGGTGATTGGGATTAAAATAGGAGAATTAAATTCATACTGGAACTTAATTAATCAATCAATAATGTTTCCTGTTGTTATGAGTATTGATTTTATTATTTTGATGATTATAGTCATTGTGTTTTTCTTTTTTTATAGTCATAAGCCTGTATATTTAAGATGCTTTATGTAATTTTATTTAATTCATATTGCAATTGAAATCTTGATGAATCTTTTTCAGATAGAAATATCAATGACGTATAATTCATGTTTCTATCTTAACCAAATCAAAAATTTCAAATTTATTTTGAAAAATTCAAATTAAGCATTTTTATTAATATAAAAATTGTGATTTGTTTTTTTAATTAATGTCAAATGCTCTATATAAAACTTGAATGTGAATGAGTTATGAAACCAAATAATAATAATAATAACAATAACAATAATAATAATAATAATAATATCATGCATTTTAGAATTATATTGTTGATGTTAAATGTTCTGAAACCCAACCCGAGGTAACCCGGTTAAGAGGTCGGGGACCTGCAGCAAGTTTAAAATATAGCAAACACACCTTTGAAAAAATACGTAATAGTCTGTGCAAGTTTGAATCTAGCAAACATACCCCTGCAGCAGTTAGGTTTTCACTTTTCTGACCAAATTCCAACAATAAAAATTCAATTCAACACCATCACCTTAACCAGCGGCCTCCATTCTATAAAACCCCTTTAACATTGACACTTGGTAACCCCCTGTTTGTCGGTCGTGACTCGTGTATACCTTTATTTTTTTGGCAAAATTCTGATCGACTCCGACGACCAAAATTAATCTAACACTGCCACTCGAACCATGAGCTTCTACTTTATAAAACCCATCTAACCCTGATGCCTGGGTAACCTCTCGCTTGTCGGCTATGACTCACGTGTACCTTGAGCTTTTCGGCCAAATTTCATTTGATTTTGGCGTTCAAAATTCAATTTGACACCACACATTGAACTATTAACTTTACAAAACCTCTATAACCCTAGCAATTGATAGCCTCATGTTTGTCGATAAATAGTTTAGGGATTTTGAGAACAGTTGAAAGTGGTAACTCAGCTTAGAGAAGGCCATGGGTCCACTTTCTTGTTCCACTTTCAAATGCCCTTCTACTCTTATAAAAGAAAGATCACAAAGCTCTGCAATTTCAAAAGCAAGCTAGCATTCTATGGAGATTTTGTATTAGCAGCCACCTCACAATGAGGAATACCCACATTCTTACCCTGCGGCGAGCATGCACCAAAACAAATTCCTTAAGTAAATCACACTCCACTAATTTACAATAACACTATGCTTAAACTACAAAAATAAAATGAATCTTCATTCTTTCATTCCCTTTTTACATTCTTTCTTGAAGCAATGAATTCATCAAACTCTTAACAAATCACACAACTCTTCTCTCACTACATTTCACAAAAACCAGCCAAACCCACATCAAAATTTCCAACAATATCACCCATCTCAAAGATCAAGACCTAAAATTTCACGTAACACTTAAATTCTAGATCACCAACCGCAATTAAAAAGATCTACCATGCCCGCCAAAACCAATCCCCAAATCCAAACAAAACCCGCAACAACAAATCAAAAAACCAATCAAACAAAATCTGCGGCGGATCCCCAAATGGGCAATAAATAAAAAATTTTATAATGTAAAGAAAATGACTTTATCAATATTTTTACGCATTTGAAGTCTTTACAATTATTGGCCTGGAATCACTAATTTGAAAGCCGTTTAAAAACTCATGAACCAGAGATCATAAAACAGGTAAATATAGGTATCTAGGACATACTTTTCAATACTACAGATCCAAAACCAATGGCAACTCTGCTCGTAATCAGTGGATGAGAAGCTGCAAAATCAATACCCTCTGCAACAAAATTTTTAATACAAAATCAATTTCTATAAAAAAAATAAATAAATGGTGAAACTAAAACAAACAATCACTTAAGTAACACGGCAGGTAATACGGACCTTTAACCTCTCCAAAGAGGATGCTTCCTAAACAGCATACTCAGATTTAACATCTTGAAGAGAGTCCTACACTCAAGAATCAGATTAAAGTTACATTTAATCTCTTGAAAATTCTAGATCACCAACCCTAACTAAATTTTTTAGTTCAGTTTATATACAAAAACCCCTAAACATGGAAATACAACACCTTTCAACACATACAAGCTTGTTTTACAGGGTCTCCTTTGAATGAAGCTTGACCACACTAACCTGATGCAGTTCATGTAATAGTGTTTGTCATAAAAACAAATCATATAAACCACATAATTCAGTTATAATAGCAAATTACTGCTTCCTTGTCATCACTTTCTCTTCATCAGCAGATGCATGAGAGTGCGACCTTGTTTCGTGAACCTTAATATTTACAAAACATTCCAACAAACAAAACAAAACATCATCAACCCAATAAACTAAATGGTGTGTTATATTTCACGAGAGAGACTAACAATAAGAATTTAAACAATAAAAAAAAATACCATAGTTGCATTGTTGTTGTCAACGTTGTTGGTGTTGTTCTGGTTGTGGTTCTCTTCACTGCCCTTATCTTCTTCAAAACCAAGCTTTTAATCCCATTTTCGAGTCATTTGATACTTCTTTATCAACTATTGCAGAGAGAAATAGAACTCAAATAAATACACATAAATATAACATTAGCCAGACAGTCAAGTCTTAATTGTAAACCATTCAAGCAGTAAAGTGTGTTCCTTCCCACATTGGTATGAATGATTTCTATAATTGGATTCTTTTGTCAATTAATGCATTCTCCTACCTCTAACCTCTTTAAATTTGTGAACAATTTAAGACAGTGAACAAAATAAAGAATATACAAAGAAACTTATCATGTCCTTGACAAAAAAAGTCCAGAAAAGAGTAAAAGACCAACAGCAACACCAAAACACTCCTAAATTGAACTCCGCTGTCACTCATACGATAAAACTCCACTCAAGTCCCAACAGCAACAACCATTTCAACTTGCATAAAAGACGTTACAATCATAATTCAACAATCAAAATTTCATTGACCAATTTAAAAATAAACAATAAGAAATCAAATAGTAAGAGATAATATTACAAAACTGAACAATAAGAAATAATATACAAAACTGGATAAGAAAGATATGATAGAGAAGTTTGGAGGAACAATGATAGAGTTCTCAAGGACCTATAATAAGTTTTGATAAAAGCTTTTAATAAAGAAAAGACCAGTTGTAGATAGGCTGTCTTTAACCCACCATTCTACTAAACTTTTTTTAAAGGAATTTGCCAACTCACTTCTTGTTACCATCTTCTGAAGCAAACTTTGTTTGGTATCTATCAATTATTTTTATAAAACTGCCCTTTAGATATGTTGGTGAATACAAGAGAATCATTCAATCCAAATTAAATATATTATTATTCTAATTGTGTAGACTTATCCAGTTCACTCAGCATAATGTCTTTGTAAATAAAATACTCTAATTATAAATTAAGCAAACCCTTGATTTGTATTTTGGGAGTTTGTTGTATTTGCATACATAGTGGTTATAGGTAAAGACATGAATTCTATTCAGGTATTGCCACAACAAAAGAAGAAGGATTTAAAAAGAAAAAAGTGGTCAGGAAGCAACCAATGGGAACTTTGCTTACCTAATCATAGCCCTCACAAAGTTAGGTTAGTATTTTATATCAACTTGTACATGAAGTAACAATTATAAGATAATGATGATACGTTGGAAAAAAGTTGGCGTGTATATGTTGATCAATCAAACCTACGGCATCTTCGTGCCCCTCTAATTTGTTATATTTTGTAACTATATGTCAGGGTAAGAGTTTTAGTGGATACTACTATTAACAACCCTAATTCTTTGGGAAAATTGAAGCTATCGGTTAGATAAGAGCTCTAGTAGATATCTTAATTAGCAACTCTATTACCAATTGAGGAGAGATGTAAACTCATAATCCCTTAAGTAATACATCAAAGAGTCAATATCGAATCACTTAGTCACTCAGAGGTTGGTTGTATCAAGGATTTTTTCTTGTACTAATTGACATCACCTTTACGATAATTATTAGTTTTTTTCTCGTGATACGTGTAAAGTTTTATAAAAATAAATACATATTGAATTTATTTTTCACACGTGTCACAAAAGAGAGTTGTTGACTNACACAAAAATGCAGAGAATGTCTCCTCTCTCTCCTAAAGAAGCAACTCACATGTATTTTACTCTGAAACCATTTTATTTCATCAAAATCATTGTATTTAGATTCGCTTTTTAAGCTAAATTAATGAGATCTCGTTCAAGGGTACATAAAATTGCATTTAAAGCTATTTCATTAGAATCAGTAAACGGTTATTTGTTCATGAAGTTGTGGTTATAGTATTGTGGTGGACGAAGATAGTGGCCGGAGAATCAAACACAATGGCAGAAACAAGCGGCGAAATTTATCCGTATGCTCAAGGTTTGATTTGTTAGATCTAGATTTTGGAAGTGAAGAGAAAGAGACGGGGCTTTGTGTACACATTGCCGTCGGTTTGGTTTATCTGGGTTTTGGTTTGCCATTTTGGAAGTGACAACTGACAGAAAGGTACGGGGGAGGGGAGACAGGGGAAGAAGGGTTTGCATTAAATATTAATGCGTTTATTTTTATAAAAAAAAATAAGAGTAGAGGGTAATAACGAGGTAGAATTTAAAAATTAACAAAAGAACTCGTTAAGTTTGTTAATTTATTAAACACTCCTATAATAAAAGTATTAAAAATTATAAAAATACCCTCACTCACACACTCATTAAATACTCGCAACTGGTCATCACCGTCGGAGGGTGGCCGAAGTCGT